GTGTGATGGTAGTTTTGGACTGATTAAGAAACTTTACCGAAAAACAACTGTAGATTGTGTGGATCATATTGTTAAAATCGTGAAAAAATCAAGTACAACGGGATTAAACAAAGTCTAACGTATAGTACATGTTGTCTCAAATAAATAAATTAAAACGGAATTGATAGTGATAGATAGATGACAAAGGAACTGTGTATTATTTTCGAGAGCTGCAACACTTTAATTTTAAATTTGCATTTATATTCTTTGATATTACAGCCGAAAAAATCATACACGAGCTTAAACTGCGCAATTGCAGAGTGATAACGAACTCTTTACCATTCGAGAATCTTGATAGTTTTTGACTTGTATGAGAATGAATGACACACGCGAAGGATGCAACCTAAAATTCTTGAACTCATTTTTGGAGGTTGGCTATGCAGCTGACCATACAGTCGATGGTGCTTCGCAACTGGGTACTCCACCGCCGGATATCTGGAAGCGACTGTGGCGTGGGCCTCTCCTTCCGCGCCATAGGGAGACGTATTACAAGCTCTTGATGAATGCTCTCCCGCTCGGCCAAAGAGTGATCTCCTTCGCACCCCAGCATACCCAGTGTCCCCACTGTCCTTCCACGGTCCAATCTCTTCGTCACTTCGTTTTTGCCTGCCCGCTGGCAAAACAGGTTTGGTCGGACTTCGCGGATATCTTCGGACTTCCGTCACCAGTGTCTTTCCGCCAGGCACTGTTCTCGTGGTCAACAGCGGATCGCGATATCTGGCCGGGAATATGGGTTCCGCTTGCAGGCCGGACACGCGGTGGCGCTCCATGCGTTGTGGACGGCTCATTGCAATGCCATTTACAACGGAGCTCGTATTTCCCGTGCCTCGATATCGAACCAATTTCGATCACTCCTTCATCGGCCCTTCCGAACTCTCGCTTCGTCTCGCTTCTCGTTTCGTTTGGGCGATCTTCCGCTCTTCTTCTCAGCGTAACCGTTTCGATTTCGGGTTAATTTATTTCGACTGGCGATCTCGGTGCTTGCCCTGAGTGTAACAATTAGCTAGGGTGGGGTAGCACGTAGTAGGTTCAAATAGCAGAGGACGTACCCTTTCGTTCATGTTGGGGGGAACCTCTAGCTCGCGCACGTGTCCCGTAGATCAAGCTATGCAGATCGCTAGTTTCACAATGTAGACTGTTAAGTGCA